TTAATATTTAATTGTGTGGTCACAAAAATTACCTAAAAATGTTTAACAGATATAATTACATTTTTTATATATATATTTTAGATATATTTATATATTATAATATATATTTGTATAATTTTTTATATGGAACTTACGAGAAATTTATTGCATCTTTTTGTATTACAGGTACAATGGCAGAGCGAACAGGAGAAGCAGGAGTCAAAGTCGATATATGCCACGGAAAACGACGCAATCATTCGCTCAAAAACTCCAGCGATAGAGTCGTATTCCAGAAATACGATAGCCCCAGCCTAGACAATTACAACAGTGTAATTGTTGATAATCTTTGATAGTCGGGCTAATGGCTAGCGCTAAGAATGGGGAAGAGTACAAACGCCGCTCGGAAAAGGATTATTCCAGCGATTTTTGTATTTATTATAATGCGCAAGCAAGTTCACAGGACTCAACGAGTCGCAAATGTCACTTGTTACAAATGTACATTTATTAGGATAATTAAATCATAATTCTACTATGGCGTTTCATCATCCTTCGTAATTTACTTCTTTTCCTCGTGACATGAAAGTGCAGCGATCGATTATAAATTAAACGGATAGTTTTTTGGAGTAATGAAGAAATAAAATCGTTAATTTATTAATATTTATTGTAGAAAAAATAGGATGACGCGAATAATTTAATTATTCAAAAAATCTAATGAAAGACGATAACGATATTTTATTTATATTTGTTGAAAATCAGAAATTCTTTATATATTTTAATTAATATAATAATCAATCACTAATATTTTCCCGACATTCTTAAACAAAGGAATTTTAATCAATCAATATCAATTTAACATATTATTGAAAAAAAAAAGTACACAACATCACAAATTTCCTACTGTCAGATCATACAACATCAATACATCCTCGTCCTTCATTCCTGCATTCAACACACACGCGCTCTTATTTAACGCATCACCTTGCCAGCAACTACAAACTCTGATCTGTGTAGATATTAATATTATTATTCAATTACATAATGTTAATTAACAAAACATACAACGCATAAAATTGGTGAGCTCACCCACACGCCGCTTACAGAGAGTCTAAGATAAAGGAAGGTCTCTAAACAAAACAAAAACTTGGAAGAGTAACGAATTTTAAGAACTCCAATGTTTCCGATTTTCTCCTTCCTCAAAATGTCAACCTTAAACTAGTAATTAAAAACAATACTAAACTCGAGCAGTATTACCAACCAACAATATTCACAAGAATACTATTCCTGGCATTTGGGTATCTTTTCTCAAGCTATCAGTAATCTTTTTCCTTGGAAGAAAGATGTAACAAGACAAAATGTAGGAAATGTTGCAAGAGTGCCTATCACTAGCGATTATATTCGCGTCAGATGAAAATAAAGCATAAAAAGATTTCAACGAGCTTGCAGAAAAAATCAAGACATTACAATATGCGTAAATTCCACTTTGATCTTATTTACGCCTCCTCTGTCATAGGAAAAGATATCACCAGGGATATTTTGACCAGTTTGCAGAAGGCGTGTCGTTAAAAATCGCAAATTTATCTGGCCCCTCGTAAATCCTCGCGACGAACATATTAACATCACTTCAGGTTTATCACCACGGCCGACAGCGTTACGACATTCGATTAATTCTCGACAAGATCCATTGCCGTTGTAGTCGCTATCCAGCATATCGTAATAATCTTTTTTTACATGTATGTAAAAGGTTGCAACATTTTTTTTACGATGGGTTTCGGAATGCAGCTTGCTCACCGAGCGATTGGTTCTTATTCATGGATCGAGAAATGAAAATCAATCGCTCGGTGAGTAGGCTGCATTCCGAAACCTATTTAAAAAAAAGTGTTGCAACCTTTTAGGCCCTGACCATACAAATCGACACGTATCGTCAGACGTGACACGGGCCACGTTAATACTAATGTAAAGCCCGGTCGATCCCGACTGAGATCTCGCCACTTTTGCGTAATCGCGTGCACGCGACTAAATAAGAACAACCGGCTTATCATCTTACGATGCGCGGCGCGCCGTTAAGGACAACGTAAGTGGGAATTACGCGGCGCAGAGGGATGACGCGGGTGAAGAGGCCATCCACTAGTCATAACAATAATGTTTGACGATGGAAAACGCGAATAGACGCGTTTGATATCACTCAACGAGCAATTAGCGTGCATTGCATTAACATACACGTATATACATATAAAAAATAGAACAACATTACTCTGTTTGTCGGCAAACTTTAGGCGTGTATAAAGAAGATGGAGGGTGACCGTATCTTTTTACATGCAATCACTGTACACTCTCGCGATTTGAGATGTTTAAAAAAATTCGGTTGTATCCGTCACTTGATAATTTTAAATGTTGTCTTTCATATGCACACGCACATACACACACACGTACATACACACATGTGCTAAATTTTTTATGCGAATTAATTACATACTTGTAAACAAATTACGATAAACTGAAAAAATATCAAATTATAAATATCTTGAGATTTCGAAATACTTAATAAATATGATGAACCGTATTTTTAGCAGTAAATTAGATATTGTACATATATATAGACTTAAGACAAATTTAAATAATTTTCACAATCATCAAAATGTCTTATGGCTCTTATTTATTCATCACTACTATCTCAAATTATGATGTCAGAAGCGAGAAAACGCATAATAAAAATTCTTGCAAATATGATATTTGAATACAGATATTTTTCAATAAAACAATGACTGCAACCGATAGAAAAAAAAAAATAGATATATAAAATACTGTAGCGAAAACTTTGTTTTTTGAAAGAAATCAAATTATATTTTCTTCTATATGTATATTATAATATATTATTTTAACACAGTTTGTCGCAGTTGGAATATATAGCTTTACTTCTTTTTATACATAATTTATTTCCGGATATATAGTTATTTATTGAAAGACTAGGGATATACTATAATATATATATATACATAACGTATTATATAGTATTTCCCTAGTGTTGTTCGTTTCTTTACGAGAACAGAGGTCCAAGTTCTATTAATTCTTTCAAATAATTCTTTTATTAATATTTTCATACATATTTCCATAGGTACTTTTTGCAGGAATTTTTATCATGTATTTTCTCGCTTCTGACATCACAATCTGAATTGTGAGATAGTAGTATGTGCAATGGTGAATGAACAAAAGCCTCAAAAAGGAAAGAAATGTTCATTATATAACTCTAATTTAGGGAGTTTTTTTTGTTATTTTATTTATCTTTTTGATATTTATTTTATTTATCAAATCGGCGCTACATCTATGAAAACTTTTACTAATCGAGCAAATTGTAGACAAAAAAATACGTTTCTTAGAAATCATCAATCATTTTAATACGCAAAGTCATGAAATCTTATACTGTGGTTTATATAAGTCCTATTATCTATATTATGATAGGTTTTATTTTGCTGACTCTCGTTTAGATTTTACAAGAAAATTATCATATTTTTATTGTAAATATTTGAAATTTTGTTTAATACTGTAAAATTTGTTCGACCCGGTGACATCTTCGGGTTGTCCGAGTTGTCTGTGTCTCCATGGAATCTTACAATGTTTGCTGTCTTTACGATATTCTTTGTGACATTACTCTTTCACGTGTCTAACACATGATTATTTAAGCGATAGATAAAATAATCCTATTTATGCAAAATTAGATCGATGTTTCCCACACTACAGTGTTATTACGATGTAAAATAGCTCTATAATTATACGATTTATATCGTGGTGCAAATTGTGATATAATTATACAGTCTTTTCTTTTTTTTTCTTATTATATAATCAACCGATATGCGAGTTGTTACTATAAGAACTTTGTATTGCCAGGAACAAAAACTTTTTAATGCAAAAAAAGAGAAAAATCTGATAAGAAAAGCCTGATATATAATATGCGATATCAGCGAAAATTTCGAATACTTATAATTAAGATATAATAATTTCCTTGTAAAATTTAAACGAGAATATAAAATAAAGCCTGTCATAATTATAGTCCACGAAGCCTTAAAATAAAATACAAAACACCCAATCGTTTGTATAAATTTCCACACAGCAGAAATATCCCGAATATATCATACAGATATCCTACAGACATTGCGATATGTTTAAGCTGTCTGTGATATAATTTGGACATTTCTGCCGTATAGGAAAGATTATAAAGACGTTTGTGTTCCTCGGGATTTTTCATCCATTTCGTTCCCCTTATGTACGCGCAACAGTGAGTCTCGAGCTACGAGCGTGCCCTCGGTTTTCCTGGGCGGGAAGATATCTATATATCATGTTTTTTCTCGTCTGGCGGCGATAAAACATATCGTACGATCCTCCAGTTGGCGCAGCCTTCAATTTTACTCGATAATGAATCGAGTACGTGACACGCCCTGTGTCCACACTCGCGGGTGTGGATGCAAAAATAAGTCCTCCTCCCCTTTCTGTTTTTTCTCCCTCTTTGCTCTCTTTCTCTGTCTGTCTCTGTCTTTCGCGTACACAATTGCGAATGCTGCGAGTAGGGACACCATTCTACCCGAGTGACGACCTTGATAGTCAGTCTTTCTTCTGACTCTTAATTTTTCGTTTTTCTTGTCTCCTTCCTTCGAACGCTCTTTCGAAATGTTGTGTTGTTCAGGAATTGACCCAAAATAAAACGCGTAAACTCACGTGATACCATCTTCGATAAAGACAGATAAAAACAATGCGAGATGTCTGAAAGAGAACGATCTTTCCAAGGCTTCTCAGAGAGACGTTCTTTTAAATGCATTAGATGTTCAGGTATTTCTTCAGTCGGTGGTTTTCGAAAACCTGAAGAAGAGAATGTGTGGAGGGAGCGAAAACTTAAAACCGCGTGCAATGGCGCCTCTGAAGGCTCTGAACTTGGCGCACTGAACTATATATCGGAGATGTTAGCTATCAAAGGTCATCACTGCGTGGCAAGGTTATCGTTGGATTTTTAAAAAAGGTGGGGAAGTTTTTGTACGCGATTGGTATAGCTTGACTGGCCAGTTCGTTTAAAACGTTATACGTCGATGGTGACACTCCACCGCTGTCGACTTATCTGTTTGTGTCAGATTGAGATTTCTATTCAAACGCGTTGGAGATTCCAACCGTTTGTCTTTGTCGCTACGGACGTAGGTCTTTAATAGACAGTGTTCCAGCAGATGATTTTGATTTTGGGAACTGCTTTCCGAAAGATTCAGTTTTGATCGAGACTAAATTAAAAATTGGGATTCTCCTCTAATTTCAAAAATTGAGATTGTGCAATTAGCATCGATTATTGTTTCTTTCACCGGTTACCCTGGCGATCGGTATGACGATCTCGGTGACCGACACCGCTTTGGATATAGAGAAGAAGGCGATCGGGCGTTGCGCTCGACGCAGCCATCGTCTTTGCATCTGGCTCGCCTGGATCTATTGCGGCATCTTCCTCATCAGTTCCGCCGGCTTTTACATGTTCTGGTACACAGACACGATCAACAACTACATATTGTCGTTGATGGAATTGCGTAACGGCACTCGCACCTTCGACTGGTGGCAGCGCCCGCCCTTGAAACTGAAATATAAGATCTATATCTTTAATTATACGAACGTGGACGAGTTTGAGGCGAACGAGGCGAGCAAGCTGCGCGTCCAGGAGCTTGGTCCCTACGAGTATCATGAAACGATAAGTCGTACGAACGTGGTGTTCCACGATAATGGCACGCTCACCTATCAGAACAAAAAATCCTACGAATGGGTAGGCGGCCGACCCGAGAACGATGTTGTTCTGGTACCAAACGTGCCATTGATGTTCACCACCGCGTACGTCCGGGATTTGAGCTTCGCAGTGCGATTCCTCACTAACACGGTGCTGTCGACTCTGCAGGAACAATCGTTCATCAACGAGACTGCCAACGGTTTCCTCTGGGGATACGACACTCAGCTCTTCCACATGGCCAAGCCGTTGTTAATGCTGCAGCGGGACGTGCCCTTTGAAAAGTTCGGTTTGCTGGCCATGGTGCGTGATTATGTTTAACCGCGGAGAATTTTGAATCTTATGAAAATTTTACTTCTACTTATGCCGGTACACTGAAAAAAAAGATTGGCTGCTGCAATAAATTAAATGGTAAAATATGGCATAGCATTTTTAATTAGCTGCAACAGCCAATTTTTGGTTGCGTTA